TATGTAAAGTGTAGGTGACTGAGTTTTGATCACTTCTAGCATGTGACCATATTGAAGAAAAAATGAGTAGCAAAGGCTTTTTGTGAGAGCTGTTTGGAAAGATATTAAAAGTGTGCTTTATTCAGTGTATTTGCTCTGTTTCAGACCTGAAGGGTACAGTATTCCTAAGAAGTTTACAAAGGGATACAGGTTAACAGCCTTATGTAAAGTGTAGGTGACTGAGTTTTGATCACTTCTAGCATGTGACCATATTGAAGAAAAAATGAGTAGCAAAGGCTTTTTGTGAGAGCTGTTTGGAAAGATATTAAAAGTGTGCTTTATTCAGTGTATTTGCTCTGTTTCAGACCTGAAGGGTACAGTATTCCTAAGAAGTTTACAAAGGGATACAGGTTAACAGCCTTACTCTGATATTAACAATAATAAAAAAGGATGCTTCGTTTCAAGTCTCTGCTTAATGAGGCATTGAGGCTATGATGGTTTATCTTAAGGTGAAAGACTTTCTCCAGCCACTAGGTCTGGTGCACTTAATTCACTGGTTTAAAGCTCAGAAAAACACCTTGTACTAGACCTGAAAACAAACAGGTGGCCAGTTTATGTCATAAACCTTTGGCAACCTCTGGGGTCTTAATTTGAGTCACATCTTTCTTCCATCTTATCTTTCCCAATTAGGCCATGACTGTTGTGGAGACTGATAGGGAATTTGGGGTTTTGAAGACATATGTTGAACTAGAAATGACTAAATCCTAGGAAAATCTTTCATAGTTACCTGGATAAGCAGTAATGATCAATCTGGGCGATGGCATACTGGAACAGTTCAGATAAGGCAAAAATCAGGGGATTGAAGGAAAGAGCTACCAAAAGCAAAAAGGTAACAGGCAATCCTGTGACTGAGATTCACCACAATTTGTTCTGAGGTAGCTCTTTCCTTCGATCTCCTGATTTTTACCTTATCTGAACTGTATTTTACCCAGCTAGGTCTTAATGCTGAACTTCTGTTTATTTCCAGAGGATCAATGTGTGAATTGCCTCTACCCTGTCCATCATTTGTGCTCATGTCCCTTCAGTTTCCTCTATACAAAGATACATATTTTGCAACATCTGTCAGTAGATGTACCTGGTGTTTTGCATACAAGGACCTAAGACATGCACCATTCTTCTGGTTTTCTCCAGCAGTCCTGATTTCAGATTGCAGCTAACATAAGTATTAAAGGGTAGTCCATATATGTCAGTTTGTTACATTGAAAGTAATGATAGTAGCACGAGTAAGAATGTTTTCATAGGACTAAAATGTAGCAGCTAAACAAAAGGAGGAAAAACCTGTTAAATATATTCTGGGAGTCTCTAGTGGGTTTTTTTGTTTGTTTGTTTGTTTTAGTATTTTTTCATTGTCATTTAGATAGGTGCAATTTCTAAACTTATTCAGTCTTATTTCATTGAGCAATGAAAAATGCTAAATAAAAATTAGGGATGAAGCTTTAGAGTTCTTAAAATTTTCTCCTTAAAATTCCAGTTATCTTCCAGTTACAAATCTTTTGGGTTTATTTTGTTACTCACAAACATTAATAAGAATTAAATCTCCCAATTAAGCATTCAAAGTTTTAAAACTAACCTCTAAAAGTAAGCATAGAAAAAAAATCCTTTCCAGATATGATAGATTGCATTGTTGAGAACATACCCTACCTAGAATCACCTCTGCTTTTTGATAAGAAGCATCTGTGAAGAATTTGTGACTGAGCTGACAAATCATTTTGAAAATTTTGCTATTAGAAAAAAAGTCTTGCATCAGTTGCTGCCTTCTGCAAACACCAGAGACTCAGGGCAACAGAGAATCAGCATGCTGAGAGCAAAAGGAGAAATCAATGATGGGGTGAGGGGCTGGAGGAGAGAGCACGTGGTCCTCAGAGACACCAAAGTAAGGCAGTGAAGGGTATCTTATGGGGAACATAGCAGTCTGAAAGCTTTGTGTTACTGTGTGTCTTGGTTGATTTTCAGGATGGAATATGATTTTTAAAAAAAAAAAAAAAGGTGTGTGTGTGTCTTTTGGCTATCAGAGGAAAAACACGAATACCAGGCTTTTATTACTCATCCTTCTAGAAGTTCAGCTAGATTCTTTGGAAAGCAGGATTCTGTGGTTCTGTCTTTTAAGACTCCACAAAGCATTGTATATTCTCTTTGAAAGAGAAAATACAAACCAGTTTCATTATACAACTACTTAATTAAATGGAAATGAATGAACTATGTATTTGAAGTATTTAACAGCATTTTTCATGTGACATTCAAATGACTACATAGAAATGCTATCACCATTAATTTTCTGCAGACTTTTACACATACCTCTATCTCTATTCTATAACATTGTAACATGCTTAGGGGTTTTATATAATATTCTCTTCAGATGAATATCAGATATATCCTCAGAGATTGTTTTTTTTGGTAAACTCTTTTAAGAAATCTTAAGCCTCCTTTCCCAGAAATTACTTAGACACTTTAACTTCAGTGTTTGTAGGTTTAAACTTGCAGCACTAGCTAACTTTCAAGTTAATTTCTCATTATAGGGCAAATGCAGCTAGTAATGAAGCTTACTTGTTTCTTCCTCCATCTTCTGATGCTGAATTGCTATAAAGTTAGTTTTGTTGTATGAGGGTATTCAGAGGTTCTATTAAATACTACAAAATGGTGGGTTAGATGGGCATACAGAGTAAATTTAAGCAGATTGTTGCTTGGTTGTATCCTAAATAA